AGCTACACATCCCTGCTGGAAAGCCCTTGGATCAAGAGGGAGTAAGCTGCAACCAATGAAAAAGTAACCATGGCTATGTCACTTTTAAATGTACATTTATATTGATCCATCATAAGGCCAGTCTTAAGCATTGGTCAAGGAGCCCGTAGTCTAACCTCCAGGACAGTTCAAACATGTTCGCATGCCAATCACTGAGGCACCTCTGGTCCACTGTTTAAACAAGGCTTGTAAGGAGAATGAAGTGGGGGGTGGGTGGGCTGAGTGGACACAAGAGCAAGAAATCGGGAGCACTGGGTCCCAATTCCTAGTCCTCGCCCGGATGCGCTTTACCAAGATTCTTCTTCAAGCAGAAACAGCAAGCTTGGGAACAGAAGTTGCTTTTTAACAGCCAAAATCCCTAGCCTTTTGTAGAATTTGGCAGGCTCTGTTAGATCACATGATTCAAAATGTGGGTCACACTCCTTCCCATACAGACTCATCAGTAGCCTTTGCAAGCCCTAATAAACATTACATTCTTTCAAAACTCACAAGATACAGATTTACTTACGAATATCCCGAAAATGGATAATGAGTCTCGCCACGAGGGAAAGATATTCCTCCTGAAGTCAGAAAATCAAAACGCACTTCAGAAGTCAGAGAGAAGGGCAATGTCCTCTGTGACTCACTTCCCCCTTTCCCCTCTTGCTCTTGCCACAGAACAGACAACTGCCCTGCAGGGCTTTCTGGCATAGCTTTCTGCAAAAACAGCAAGGCGGAGCTGTTTCTGATTAAGAGGTCATTGTATTTAAGCCACAGTAGAGGGAGAATGCAAAAGGCGTGACATTTGTGAGGAACTTGCAGGACAGAAAAATTCCTTTGCAATCTAGCAAAGATTCTGCTCAACTTTTAACACATAGAACAAAGAAATGGACCTTTTACAGTGGATCCACACAGTTTCCACTTCTTCCCTCAAGCTTCCTCACAGAAGTGTCATGTCAATGAAATATTATCCCATGGCTAGTCTGATACCTGGTTGCCTTGTGAAAGCACTTTATGATAACTGAATCACACAGTCAGTGTGCATTTGGAAAGGGCAGAAGGCAGATGAGAACTAGATCGTTTCCTACTGCCACTCTGCACAGGGAAAAAACAGTATTTTCCGAGACTCTGCCGATCAACAGACTGCGACAAACCCAACAAGTTAGGGGACAAAAGAGCAAAGTGACAAGCAGGACAGCAAGTATTCTGAGGCAACCAGAAGAAGCAGAAGTAGGGCAAAGACTCCTGCAAAGGAAGATACGGAGATTTTCTTCTTCCTTCATCTTTTGCTGCTGACACTTCAACTCTCATCTCACCAGCACTGCAATCTTTCTCTCTGCTCCCCGCCACAAGAAAAGCCAACATCTTACCCGTGATTTGGCCTTCATGTACACATGGTTCTCCATTTCTTTACTGGTTTTATTATGAGCTACTCCAGCCTTCCTCACTGCATCTTCACTGCAAGAAGCAAACACAAGGAACTTTGGTCAGAACAGCACAGTTTAGGCCTTGAGAATGCAAGAGAACAGTCAGTCCTTGTCTTTTTCTGGTAATTTTTCTTCTGAAAAAAAAATGTACGACAAATCTATTTTCTATATGCAGGGTAACATCATATCACTAATGCATCGGCACAGCCTTCCCAAAACCTTTCATCAGCTCACCTACACGCACAGCCCTGTGCTTTCAATGTTGACTACAGCTTAACTTCAGTCACACAGTGCAGATCCTTGTCCTGTGGTAGCAGCTACTGCCAAGCAACCTTCAAAAAATCTGCACAGCCAATCAGAAGCCTTGCTAGGTAAAAGTCCAATGCGGTACCACGTTGAGGACTCCTGATCTAAAGCAACTGTCCTCAATGCAGTGCCTCCCCACTTATCTCTGGGCAACTGCTTGATACCCTTTCTGACCCCTTCCATACACCTTTGCAAACATGCTGCTGCTTTTTGTCATCTTTCCTGCATCTCCCATTCACACTCCCTCCTTCAAATCTTTCCATTTTCACATTTTTTGCTCCCTGTTTCTCCAGTATCTCCACATCCTTACTCCTACCTCACACTGCTTCACTAGCAGAGTTCAAGTTGTGCTAAAAGCAATGGGAGGATGATTGAGTGGTTGTGATGCTGGTTGTGATGCTGGTGTGTGTCTAACAGTTCATCTGTTTTTGCAGTTTGCACATGGATGAGACCTGCTGATAAATTCTAGTACAGGTGAAGGGTCTGCTTGAGCCTAACTAATCTCAAACCTTCCTCCAGTCTCAACAGCTCAAGATACCTCACAGTTCTGCTACTCTAGAGAGCTATGCACAAGGAACAGGAAGCATTTCCAAAAAGGCCAGAGCACCTTCTCTAAGAGGAAAGCCTGAGTTTTAACTTTAGTTCACTTCACCAGGGACACAACAATTACAGCCTGTGCAGAGACATTCTCTCTCATCAGATGAAAACACCTTATCATTCACAACAACTAGTTTAAGATTAAAGGAAAAAAACCAAATTATGTTTTAATTTATGGAATTCAGTACTGAAAGCACAGTGATTTACTGTTTTAAAAACATTGAGCGATCAATGGATTATCAATCAGTGGATCAATCATGATTATCAGACAGAACCTCCACACTCAGAGACAGTGGCAGAACCAGGGGAAGGGCCTGTTGCTTCCTACAAAATTTCTGGGCTCTCCGCTAGGAAAACAGAGTGCTGAACTAGATAGTTTGGTCAGAAGGACTCATGTTCCAGAAGCCTCTTGAAAGGGTTAAGCCTGGCAAAAAGTTGCACCTTTGGAGAATAAGACCAAGCCAGCTACTCCTCTGCTGCCACTGCCTTTTGAGCCATTCAATTTCACACTGCAGGGGAGGATGATTGGGGAATACTCCCTTCTTGCCCTTAAATGCTAGTTGACCACACAGGCCAACATGGCTTAACTGCTGAAGAGCAAAATTTTTTACAGAAGTACAAGTAAATGAAAAGTCAGACTGTACTGTGTACGACAAGTGAGAAACACCATATGAGAAAAATATAGCCACTGTACAGTTGTTGTTACTATTATTATTATATTAGATTTATTAGGCTGCTCTTCCCTGCAAGGGAAGTGACTTACAACAGAAACAAACAAATGAATAGTTTAATTTAAAGTCAATGTTTAAAAATACTTAAAGCATATCAACAAGTAAAACAGTACACAATCCAAGATGAAAGAAGATTTCCGCTTCCACAGGCCTCCTAGGGGACAGTGGTTATGGACGGTGGAAGGGTGTGTGAGAGTGCCAGATCTCATACTATCCCATCACTGTCCTCAACCAAATTTAAAGAATATTCAATGTACCAATGACAAATTAATAGAAAAGAATCAAGTTAAACAATTGACAATACAAACATAGGATGCATCAAAGTGTGCAAAAGGAGTTAAGATGCCTTCCTTAATAGTTGGAATATGAGACTAGGCTCTGGGGAAAACATGTTCAAAACTTCACTGTGCCATGAAATTCCTTAGGCCCTAACCTTACTCACAGGGCTGTTGTAAGCCTAAAATGGGGGTGGGGCAGACACTACCCTAAACTCCTTGCAGGAAAAACGTAATAAAAACCATACTTAATAAATAGTAAAACAGGAAGCTTTTGACGCGAAGGAACAATCAATACAAAGATGTGCAGGATTCTACATGTGTCGGCTGGCTTTTAGGCCACCAACGGTACCGCTTCAGACCCGAGGTGGGGTAGATCCCTTTTGAACGCTCCCCCAGTTGAAGGCCTGCAAGCAGAAAACTAGCACACCAGGAAGAACAACTCTGCCAAATCGCGACGTCCGCTAACAGCCTCCGACGTTCAGCCCAGGTTACCATCCCCGGACTCCGCCCTCACATCATTTCCTGATCCAGGCTGGCAAAGGCCCGCCCGGCCGGCCGGCCAGCTCCACCAGACGCAAAACCTAGCCCCCGGCGCCTCGAGCGCCCTTCCGGGCCGGCCGGCCTTCCATCCATGAACAGGCGCTTAGGGCCTAGCGCACCGCCAAACCTTTTTGGCCCCATTCAGCACCCATACTCACATCTGGCTGACCAGCTTCTGCCTGAAGTTGTTGCTGCGCCATTCGCTATCCTCCATCCCGGCGGCTTCGGCCTACCGTCTTCTGCAGCTGCCGCTACCGTTCGGACTTCGCAACCTGAATGGGCACAGACGCGTCTTCCGGCAACCGGATGTGACGACAAAACGCGACCCGCAAAGCCCTTCCCCTCAGAGAAACCAGGGCATGCTGGGAAATGTAGTTCTGAGACCGTGACTGGCTAGCGCGTCCAGACCAGGGAACTCCTGGGCTCCGCGCGGCCAAGCGGGGAAGCTGTGGGCAAGGAACAGGCGCACCTTCCCTGCGAGGAAGGGAAGAGGCGGCTGCAGTCGAGCGCTCCTTCATTGATCAGGCACAAGTGAATCCAGACCAAGAGGCGCTGCCCGGGGTAGAAGACCAGCTGACACTCCGACTCTCTCTCCGTCGCTCTTGCCACGGTGCTTCCACTCGTTCCCCGTCCCTGTCCAGCGTCGCCCACAGCTTTCCGCGGCTGCAGTGCAGAGCAGTGAAATGCCGCGATGAGGTGGCAGCACCGCTCTCTCCGAGCCTCAGCCTCTAGGGCGCGAGTACGACTCGCGAGCGCTCGGAGGACTCCGTGGCTGTCACCGATGGGTGCGGAAAGGGGCGACTGTCCCTTTAAGGAGCGGCACCCGGCTGGTGACAGGAGAGCTAGAGAGGCTCACCCTGACGAGTTTCCGCTTAAAGGTTGTAAGATAAACCGGGGGATCTCTGCTGCTCCTGCGCGCCTCCTAGAGCGGCATTACTAACTAGCCCAACCGCACCCCCCCAGGGGAGGAGCTTTCAGCCAGGCCACGCCCACTGGACTTGTGGGGGCCCTTCGAGGATTTTGAGGGGTAAAGTGGGTGGCGTCAATTGTTGTACGGAAGCAGACGCAGCTCAGAAAGAGACGCGAATGCCCCGGAAGTCCTGCCTACAACCCCCCAAAGTGGCAGTCAAGTTTTTGTAAGGCTTTTGGTGGGGCTCTTTGCCTGGTGGGCGCTCTGGAGGCGGCTGTTTTCCCGTTTCTGCGATTCCGGACAGGTGAGTAAGGAAAGGACGGGGGAGATGGTGTTGACACTGTCTGGTGGATGGCTGGACAGCACAGGGCTTCGCTGTTGTAGCCGCCCTTATCTTAGTGTCTCTGAACATGTGCAGAGTTCTGCTGCTCTCCTGGCTTCCTGGAGAGGTGCACTGGTAGGTGCTTGTCTAAGGACAGGATGCAAGACACTTTGCTGCGCTGTTTTGTCTTTCATCCCACGGCGTGACTGTCTACCGAGTTTCCTCCAGCACCGACAAAAGCCTTATTTTCGTATGACGCTTCTCTGCTGCCTTTAAAAAAAAAAGCAAGTCCATAGCTCTCACTCCCTCTCTTCTTCTCACAACAGCCTTGGGTGGTAGGTTGGATTAATAGTGAATGACAGGGCTACGAGTGTAAGGAGGTTTATGAACTGCTGTTGAAGCTCTTGGGCTAAAGGGTCAACTAAAATCTCTTGTGCTATTTTGTGGAGATGTATTTAAAACTAAAGCCATAAAGCCAAGGTTTTCACCTTGTTAGATTGTTTGTGGCTGTATGTTTTACAAAGCTTAATTTGGATCAACAACGACTTAGATGACATTTAAAAATTCAGAATGGCATGTAAATGCTAATCAAGTGTGATAAAACAGAAATCCAGTAGTGCCTTAAAGACTGGCAACATTTGTTCCACTGTACCACACTTCATCAGATCGTGTATATATAGCCATTGTTTATACTTAGAGTTATAAGCAACTGATGGGCTGATGTAGGGAATTCCATAAAGAAGACCACTTTAAAACAACATCCAATCAAAGGGAGAGAAATCCATACAGAGCTGTTATAGAAGATGGGTAGAGTGAGATAAACATAAAATTTGATCTGGGAAGGTGCAGTGGTGGAATATGATAAGCGGAGTTGATTTACATATGTAAAGGGTGGATCAGGCCACAGTATTCCTCTCTAGTAAATAAGGAAAACCAAGTCTGTGTTCAAGCCTGAGGGAGACAGAGATAGTATTGAAACTCTTGGTGAATCATTATTTAGCACTTTCAGAAGTACTGGATTGTACCTTTGAATATTTCTTTACCACTTACTGTAGCAGCTCAGCATGACCCACTCATTTGCATATTAACTAGTTCCACATATCATGTTTCATACTGCCCTTTCCTTGTTTAAATGTTATGTTTCTTGGACTCTGCCCATTTTATGTAGTTAAGACTCACTGCATGGAGAAGAGTCACACCACCTCTATGGATTGTTTTTGTTTTGGTTTTTTTATTTTATTGTTACAGCACAT